TGTAAAAAAGAAAAATCCACCGAGCGTGGAATTATGGAACTCGCCCGTGGATATACCGGGGAAAAAAATATTCGCGAACGAATAGAATGCGTCAGAAAAAAATCAAAAATTTGCAAAGCTTGTTAATGGCAGGACCCCGAATCGAACGGGGACCTTCGGGTTGCTTAAGACATCAAGCCACTGTAACAGAACCCAACGCGCACCCTGCGCCTTCCTGCCTTCCTCCTACTACCTAGGTCCTGGATAGATATAGGAAAAATCAGGCCCGCCTGGGTTCAGATCTACCAGGGACGAAAATCACGAGTTCAATGGAATGAAGTTCCGCTGGGGATAAACAAGTAAATAGAACTCACCATTTGCGCCGCAACGATGCATGGAAGCATGCATGTAGTCCGAAGCCTGTCTTGGAAGTATGAAGTCAAAAGAACGACGCAACAAAAAAAGAACACTGACGCGCGGCATGGCAGGACCCCGAGTCGAACGGGGACCTTCGGGTTGCTCAATAGCTGGAGATTCTCGCAACACAGAAGCCCAATGCGCACCCTGCGCCTTCCTGCCTTATTTCTAGTATTCAGTACCTGGATAGATGCAGGAATAATCACGCCCGCCTGCGTTCAGATCTACCAGGGGGGAAAAGGATGAGTTCAGTGGAAAGAAGTTCCGTTGAGAAGAACAAGTGCCCTAATGGAACTCACTCATTATGCATGCATATAGTCTGAAGCCTATCTTGAAGGTATGAAGTCAAAAAGAATGGAGCAACGAAACAAGAACAAAAATTGGCTTTGACCATGGCATGGCAGGACCCCGAGTCGAACGGGGACTTTCGAGTTGCTTATCACGCCAAACACAACGAAACAGAACCCAACGCGCACCGTGCGCCTTCCCGCCTTATTTCTAGTATTCAGGACCTGGATAGACGCACCAGCAAACTTCAAGTTATCGACCCCTTGCATTCATGAGAAATCAATCGACTGCCGAACATACCCGTTGCGCTGCCAAGTCGAATATCCGCAACGCTGGGAAAAGAAAAACTTGCATGCGGGACCCCGGACGAACACCCTTATGTAGGAGGATATAATATATAAAAAGAGGCCACCAAAGCATATCCCATGGCAGGACCCCGAGTTGAACGGGGACCTTCGGGTTACACATAACACATACAACCATGTACACAAACCCAAAGCGCACCTTGCGCCCTCCTGCCTTCTTCCTCCCACTCAGTTCCTGGATAGATACAGGAAGATTCACGCCCGCCCGTGTTCGGATTTGTTACCAGTGCCAAAATATCAATTGAGCGTAGAAAAATATCAATTGAGTGTGGAACTCGCCCCCTGCGTTGACGGAAAATCTGCAAAAGTCTGCATGTGGGGCGGGAGGATATTAAAAGAGCTACACCTCTCATGGCAGGACCCCGAGTCGGACGGGGACCTTCGGGCTATTGCGCAAGAGATGGCAAACTTACACAAACTCAACGCGCACCCTGCGCTTTCCTGCCTTATTTCTAGTATTCAGTACCTGGATAGATGCAGGAAGAATCACGCTCACCTGGGTTCGGATATGTTGGTGCCAAAATATCACGGAGTTCAGTGGAAAGAAGTTCTACTGGTGCCATGATTTGAATAGAACTCACCATTTGCGCTGCAACAATACATGGCAGCATGCATGTAGTCCGAAGCCTATCTTGACAGTATAAAGAGCAAAAATAAATTCTTGCTTCCAACCCTATGGCAGGACCCCGAGTCGAACGGGGACGTTCGGGTTATTGCGCAGCAGATGACGGAGACGCACACAAACCCGATGCGCACCGTGCGCCTTCCTGCCTCTTTTTCCCTGTTAGATTCCTGGTTAAGAGAAGCCCAAACAGATGGCTCGGAGCGGAGGAGGAGGAGAACAACCGCAGCGGTACGTCGAATAGCGGGTAAACAGTGGCTCGAGTAGCCCAACGCGCACTCTGCCCAATCCTGACGTCGTTCCAAGCTACTCGGACGACGAGCTCGATATGATGGTTGCGGAGAGAGAGCAGCCGGCATTCCCCGGATGACCAATCACGCTTTGTCCTGTTGCTCGTCCTCCTGACTTGCTCGCCCAGTCTCTGGGGACTCTGAGCGCGAGAAAACGCGCAGGTTTATGGGGACACTGAAACGGAATTGGGCCGATTAACGTGAAAATTGTAGCTGGCCGATTCCTCAATTTCCTGCCATTTCAAATTTCTGGGACCAACCGTGTCGCAGACAGCGCTGGATGAACGCGGCTAGGCCCTCGACGCGCGGTTCCATCCGCCTCGAATCTCGGATGAGCACTAGTACTCCACCCTCGTCCCGCTGTGTAGCCTGCCCGCACCTTTGGCACACCGCGCCCGCCACTGCAAGTCTGATCCCACTGTCGCTACATGCACGCCTGCGCTGTATCCGAGCGCGGGGGATGCCCTCGCGCGCCGAGTTTGATCCCACTGTCGCTGCATGCACGCTCCCGTCGCCGGCGCCCCGCTGCCCGCCATGGCGCTCCCGCACCAACTGTTCTCTTGAGTACACCCACCACGGCGCAGGTGCGTCGCCTGCCCGCCGTACGCTCCTCCTTGGGCACCTCGCACACCCGCACCCGCGACTCCTGTCCCATTCTGGCTCGCTGCGCGCTCCGTCCCCACGCTGTGCCATGGCGCGGGGCCCGCCGTGCGCTCCCGCACCGACCGTGCTCTTGGGCACACCGCGCGCAGCGCCGTGGTGTCGCGCGGGCTGCTTGTACATGTGGACCTCGTTGGGTGGTGGCGGGATGCGGCCGTGTCGGACAAGTCGGGCGAGTAAGACGCTCGCTCGTGCGACGACGGGTAGGCGGACGCGGTGGGGAATTGAGCGCCACCGCCGAGGAGAGGGGAGTGTATATGTGTTTTGAATGGATGGGGGGCAAGACGGGCGGGGAGGGGGTGCGTGGGGCACGACTTTCGAGGGGGGACGTAGAGCTCACGCGACTTTCGCGCGGTGGGTATGCGCCGGTGTGCGAGCGTGGTCGTGTGAGGCGGAGCGCGTGGTGCGGCGGGGACGCACGTATCTTGCTCCCTGCACCGTGTCGGCCCCATGCAACATGTCCGTACACCCATTGCGCGCGCGACGCCAGATTGACCCAGTTCTCGTTGTGTTCGCGGGCGGCGGGTATGCGCAGGGTCATGTGGGGTGTGGGTGCGCGAGCGATCGGCGACCGCGCTGCGTACGATTGGGGGGTGGGTAGGGAAGCGTGTGCGGCGACGCAGGACGGATGCGTGCGGAGGGGGCGTGGGGGGAACGTGGGGTACGCTTTTGCGCGTTGTGGGCGCGGGCGGCGGGTATGCGCAGCGATGTGGGCGTGCGAGCGAGCGAGCGCGCCCGCGCTGCGTACAAATTACGATTGGGGGGCGGGTAGGAATGATGCGCGGAGGGTGGAGGCGCGCGGGGAGGAGGGGGGGCGTGGGGTACGCGAGGTGTGCGCGTTGTGGTGCGCGGGCGGCAGGGCGATGTGGGATGTGGGCGTGCGAGCGATCGACCGCGCCCGCGTGCGCTGTGTACGATACGATTGGGGGGCGGGTGCGGGTGCGGGTGCGGCGAATGCGCGCGGGGAGGGAGGGGGGGCGTGGGGTACGCGAGGTGTGCGCGTTGTGGACCGTAGCCCGAAGGTATTATGATCTGTGCGGTCGTGAAAGGGTGTGGGACATATTAGGCAGTATTATGAGGTGAATATAGGTTACAGAGGGTATCTAACGCCTCGAGACTGGCCCCCAGCGCGTCGTTGTAGTGGTAAGAGCGAAGTAATCCATCCATTACTGATCCATCCGTGCACGTGATCATCCTCCACATCCATCCATGGATCGGCCCATCCTAGTCACAGCGCTGGTTCCTCAATTAAGTGGGCATTTTATTTAGCTACACTTCTCTAAGTATCCCAAAACAAATAGTTTGACCCCAAACCTGAATTAAATATATCTGATTTAGAACTCAACTAAATCTATTTTTTTTCTTTTACTATACTTGGAGAAGTGTAGCTAAATAAAATGCCCACTTAATTCCCGAGCAGCCAATAAGAGTGTTGGTTCATGGACTAACTGGGCATTTTAGTTAGCTACACTTCTCCAAGTATTGTAAAACAAATAAGATTAGATTTATCTCTAAATCAGATATACCTAATTGAGTTTCAGGCCAAAGTATTTGGTTTGGGATACTTAAAGCAGTGTAGCTAATTAAAATGCCCACTTAATTAAGGAACTGGCGCTGTGAGTCTCCCTAGTCAGACCAAATGATCAGAATCATTTTTCTAAACAGTGTGAAACACTGGGCTTGAGTTACACTGAAAACCAACAGTGTACGGCGAGAACCAATGGCTTTTGGTACGCGTTAATCGGGTCGCGGACCGGTCATACTTGATGCTGATCGCCGGAACCCAATATCTAATCTAATTGATCAGTGGTAAATATCGGACAACAATGCCTAGCAACAGCTGCCATTGACCAGTGATGATCATCGTTGGCCACCAGTAAACTTTCCAGACCGGGGTTTATAACTCCCAATTTGGTGCTTTAATTTATGAACAGCAATGCATTTGCGCAGCCGGTCGCATACAATAACTATATGTGCAGATCCTAAGTAATGATCAATCCTGGGAGGGTCGGATTTGGTTTAATTTCAGATGTCAACTTTTTCTCTCTCTCATTCGTTCCTCCATCCATCGGCACTGCTGGAAAATCCGCATGTGAGCACCTATTATGGCAGACCGAATTGCAGGAGACTGAATCGGGATCCTATAAATGTTTTTTGTTGTCTCCGCCATTCAATCATTCAATTTCATTGATATGTTCCATGAAGTTCCACCATCAATACGACAGAGTGCTAGCCCTCCGTAATCGGAATATTTGAATGTTGTGCAGGAGGACTCACTGGCTAGGTCATTCTCCTTTCTAAATTTATTTCTGGTCTAAATCATTTCACTTCCTTCAAAGCCCAACGTATAGTATTCGCGTTCAATTAACACCACAGAAGGACCTGTTAGGCCAGATGATAGCCCACCCGTTAGAAATTTCCGTATCACAACTAGCCTATGTGGGAGGCCCCAGTTCGACTCTGGGACAAGTCAAGCTTGAGTGTTTTGTTCCCTGTCATTTCATTTCATTATAAATCCAGAACCTGCCGCTACATACCGTGGTTCAACTAACACGAAAACCGACCTGTTGGCGCACTCGGCAGCGCACCCACCGCTGAATATTTCTCTGTGAAAGGTATTATGTGCGAGGATCCATTTTACTCAGAGCTCCGCTACATATTGTAGTTTGACCAGCAGGACAGAATGACCTGTTAGCGCAGCTCGGAAGCGTACCCAGAATAATTTGCTATTAAAATCACCCAGGGCAGTTATGTGGGAGAGGCTCCAGTTCGACTCTGGGATGGATTACCGTGTGCTTTTTTTTGAGTCATTTCATTTTAAATTCAGACACATTATAGTTCAATTAAGATACCAGGAAGACCTGTTAGAGCAGATGGTAGGCCGCCTGCTAGAAACTTTCAAGTCCGATCTAGCATCTGTGGGAGGATCCAGTTCGACTCTGGGACAGGTCATTCTCTGATGTTGTGTGCCCATTTTTATCCAACTCATTCAAATCATTTTCCTCAATTATGGTTCAATTAACTTAGCACAGTGGGCAGTGCACCTACTGATTTTTGAATGAAGGCAATCATGTGGGAGGTCCCAGTCCGAATCTGGGACAGGTCATTCATAATAACTTTTTTGTCTTTTGTTTTGGCTCATATCCCATATATATTCGGGTCCGATTAATACAGCAGAAGGACCTGCTGGCGCAGTGGTTAGCGCACCCTCAGCTGATTGCAATTCTATCCATCATGTGGGCGAAATTTCTCAGAGTCATCCGTCACCATATAATATTGATATTAATACACATTTGAACCCAATACAAGTAATATATTAGCCATGACTGCCTATCCGGCCAAATTAGCCAGTCGGCCACTTGCCAAATATAAGAGATTTCAATGGTAATTCCGGTGTCTGGCCACTTGTACGGTGGAATAAGACTCGAGAGGATGATGTATGTCAAGTTTTGACCTAAATTGACCCGGCGGTCAAGAGTTGTGGCAGGTTTTCGATCAAGATGCCGGTGTGTGAACATCATTTCTTATCCCCGAATGGCCTTCTTCCTTGTTTCTCCACCAATTCCTGGCCGATTTTCAAGGTTTCAGCCTGGTTCTGATCTCTTGATTTGTGGGAACAACACTACCACATGCAATCATTTGAACATGTATGGACCATGTTAGACAACATTTATGGCAAAAGCTGCTGGCCACATCCTCCAATATAAAGTATTTTCATGAATGTTTTTCTATCACTAATTGTGTATGAATTAGCTGAGTAAATTCATCTGGTTTTTATGGGGATCGGTCAAGAACTGAGCAAGTTATAGGTAGTTCTTCGAAAATGTCACAAAATGGGCAAAATTTCACCGTGCCTTTGGTTCCGACAATAGCTGTAAGGAAGGTCCCTACCATGTCAACAGATGTGTGGTAAAAAAACAGACAATCAATTGACAATGGCTGAACTATAGAAACTTAAGCTATGGAAGGTAAACACTATCACACAGTCCTATTAAGGATGTTCCAGTGATGGTAGATAACACTTTGCCCACTCGGTACCATAAGTAAATTTATCAAATGAAAGCAAAGTTTGCTGTCTGCCAATTATGAGTTTGCTATGAGGCATCCAGAATCCAATTCTGTGTTCATGAGGCAGCCAAAAGAGCAATTCACCGGTGCCAGACAAGACCCAGCCTTCCTGAATAGTCCAAAGAGGAGAAACATAAGAGATTTCAGGCTGAAATAGAAGAGAGTAAGCTTTGTGAACCTATAGAAGAAATTAGAGCTTACTGTGATACAATTGCTGCAATAGGAGATGGGCAAGCCTGATTGGAAGGGTGTTGTGTTGGAGTGGGCAACCTGGAGGGCATCCTGTGAGCACATATTACGGTTCTGGGAGCCAGGAACAATATGCTTCCCATCTGAGGAGAAGGCTACTGATGTGACCGAACCAGTGTGACCTTCTAATGGCTCACCCAGTGGTGCTCGACTCTCTGCATCCCACAAGTGCATAGTGCTGCCATCAGAGCCAGAGACAATATGCTTCCCATCTGGGGAGAAGGCTACTGATGTGATCGAACCAGTGTTGCCTTCTAATAGTTCACCCAGTGGTGCTCCACTCTCTGCATCCCACAAGCGCACAGTGCTGTCAGAAGAGCCAGAGACAATATGCTTCCCATCTGGGGAGAAGGCTACTGATGTGACCCAATCAGTGTGGCCTTTTAATGGCTCACTCAGTGGTACTCCACTCTCTGCATCCCACAAGCACACAGTGCTGTCATAGGAGCCAGAGACAATATGCTTCCCATCTGGGGAGAAGGCTACTGATGTGACCGGATAAGTGTGGCCTTTTAATGGCTTGCCCAGTGGTGCTCCACTCTCTGCATCCCACAAGCGCACAGTCCTGTCATCGGAGCCAGAGACAATATGCTTCCCATCTGGGGAGAAGGCTACTGATGTGACCCAATCAGTGTGGCCTTTTAATGGCTCGCCAAGTGGTGCTCCACTCTCTGCATCCCACAAGCGCACAGTCATGTCCTCGGAGCCAGAGACAATATGCTTCCCATCTGGGGAGAAGGCTACTGATGTGACCCAATCAGTATGGCCTTTTAATGGCTCGCCCAGTGGTGCTCCACTCTCTGCATCCCACAAGCGCACAGTGCTATCATGGGAACCAGAGACAATATGCTTCCCATCCAGGGAGAAGGCTACTGATGTGACATAATCAGTGTGGCCTTTTAATGGCTCGCCCAGTGGTGCTCCACTCTCTGCATCCCACAAGCGCACAGTGCTATCATGGGAACCAGAGACAATATGCTTCCCATCCAGGGAGAAGGCTACTGATCTGACCCAATCAGTGTGGCCTTTTAATGGCTCGCCCACTGGTGCTCCACTCTCTGCATCCCACAAGCACACAGTGCTGTCATTGGCACCAGAGACAATATGCTTCCCATCTGGGGAGAAGGCTACTGATCTGACCCAATCAGTGTGGCCTTTTAATGGCTCACCCAGCGGTACTCCACTCTCTCCATCCCACAAGCGCACAGTGCTGTCATTGGCACCAGAGACAATATGCTTCCCATCTGGGGAGAAGGCTACAGATCTGACGCAATCAGTGTGGCCTCTTAATGGCTCGCCCAGTGGTGCTCCACTCTCTGCATCCCACAAGCACACAGTGCTGTCACCAGAGCCAGAGACAATATGCTTCCCATCTGGGGAGAAGGCTACTGATGTGAACGGATAAGTGTGGCCTTTTAATGGCTCGCCCAGTGATGCTCCACTCTCTGCATCCCACAAGCGCACGGTGGTGTCATTGGAGCCAGAGACAATATACTTCCCATCTGGGGAGAAGGCTACTGATGTGACCGGATAAGTGTGGCCTTTTAATGGCTTGCCCAGTGGTGCTCCACTCTCTGCATCCCACAAGCGCACAGTGCTGTCAGGAGAGCCAGAGACAATATGCTTCCCATCTGGGGAGAAGGCTACTGATGTGACCGGAACAGTGTGGCCTCTTAATGGCTCGCCCAGTGGTACTCCACTCTCTGCATCCCACAAGTGCACAGTGCTGTCATCAGAGCCAGAGACAATATGCTTCCCATCTGGGGAGAAGGCTACTGATGTGACTGAATGAGTGTGGCCTTTTAATGGCTTGCCCAGTGGTGCTCCACTCGCTGCATCCCACAAGCGCACAGTGCTGTCATCGGAGCCAGAGACAATATGCTTCCCATTTGGGGAGAAGGCTACTGATGTGACCAGATCAGTGTGGCCTTTTAATGGCTCGCCCAGTGGTGCTCCACTCTCTGCATCCCACAAGCGCACAGTGCTGTCATTGGAGCCAGAGACAATATGTTTCCCATCTGGAGAGAAGGCTACTGATGTGACTGAACCAGTGTGGCCTTCAAGCACTCCAAGTGTTGCTGGCCATTTCTCCATCTGTCCTCTTAAAATTGACAGAAGTTCTGGGAACTGTGAACAGAATCTTATGCTAACTTCTGACTGCACTGGTGCAAACGCTAGGGCTGTCACATAGAGATGTGGTGTACTTTGAGTGATTGCAGTCCAGAAGAAACTAATAAATCGTTTTACATCTGCAGCAAACTGTCCTATCATTGGATCCTAATGAACAATTAGTCTCCTAATAGTTGTCATCAAAATACATTTCATACATTACTCCATGCTATGAATTTTGATAGAGCCGGTGATGCAATGGACACCATTCCCAGCAAGCTTAGGACTTCCAGCCAGAAAAGACTTTTGGTTTCAAGGAACTTTCTAGCCATTGCTGAATTTTCTGCATTGATTGACACTGCTGCTAGATGGTCTGCCCAGAAACAGCAGCAGTATCTTATATACATTGGTATACAGGTGTTCAGTTTCTGTCCAAGACCCGGCATTTCAACATTCTTCAGGTGTGATGTTGGCAGGTCACAGATATTGAACTTGAGTTCAGTCTGCATTGTCTGAAGCACCCTGGATGCAACTTTCTGCTTCTGTTTCTCTGTCCCACACAAGAGGTCTTTACGATGCTTATATAGCTTGGATATTGAGGATGTCATAAACTCTCTAAATGATAGATGTAAAATCTGCACCACTCCAGTCTCTGGTGCATGAATCACAGCACTTAGAGAAGTGAGTGCCTTTCTGACAGAATCCTCATCTGAGTTAAGCAATACTGCTAAACCCTTGGGGTCCACTGGTTGAAACAGCTCCAAAATTGTGCTGAGGATATTCATAGAAAGGATGTATAGCTTTTTATCAAGACGATCTTTTGAGGGCATTGGAATTGCCTCATTGACAATACGAAAGTATAGTTCATACAAATCCACAAGTCCTTCACCCTGAAGGATGTAATTCAATGCTGTCTGTGGATTGACCCTTGCAGAAGCCGCATGGATATAGCGAATAGCTGTAGCAGCAAACACAAAGAGCCCATCTGCACGTCTGGTGATCTCAGCTATGGCATGCTTCTGAGGTTTCCAAGTATATCGTGGTGTC